GTCCAGCCCCTGACAAACAGAGGCTGGGGACACCATTCCTACCCATCCTGGCTAATAGCCATTGAAGGACCTAACCTCCATGAATGTATCTAGTTCTTTTCTGAACCCTGTTAAAGTCCTGGTCTTCGCAACATCCTCTGGCGAGGAGTTCCACAGGTTGACTGCGTGCTGCGTGAAAAAAAAAACTTCCTTTTGTTTATTTTAAACTTGCTGCCTATCAATTTCATTTGGTGACCCCTAGTTCTTAAGTTATGGGAACAAATGAATAACTTTTCCTTATTCACTTTTTCTATACCTGTCACAATTTTATAGACCTCCATCCTATCCCCACTTAGTCTCCTCTTTAGTCAGTGGCAAAACCAGGCTTCTCCACCCAGCCTTGCTTTACCTACGTAACCAGCGGGGTTACTATGCACCTGGGATGTAGAGAATTCCTCTGGCAGAGCTGTTTGGGGGATGAACGGGGAGAGACTTTCCAAGTCTCTGTACCATCCAGGATGGGCATCAGGAGCTAGTGCAAGAGTCATAACAACGGATCGCTCCTCCTTCCCCATTCTGTGCAAACACTGCACAGGAAATACCCGATTGTTACCCACCAGCAGGATAAATATTGAAGGAGGTTTTGGGTCAAATAAACTGTGGAGCATGTGAAGGGAATGTGTTTGTAACACAGGCTGGGGATGGGCTGGCCGCATACGCAGCTCTCTGTTGCCCTCTTCTGGACCCGGGGCAGCGAGGCCTGTCGGAAAGGCAGGGAAAGGAAGCTGGGTGACAGACTGATTCCTAGAGCACAGGACTCCCATAGACTAAACAGGCGAAAGGAGGGGAAACTGAGGCACGGAGCGAGGCGGACGTGACGTGCACACGGCCAAACCCTGCGGCAGCAGCAGAGCTGGGACTAAACCCAGGTGCTCAGCGCACTGGCCTCCATGGCGATAAGGAGACGCACTGAGCGTTGCAGGAAGAGGGCTGAGGGGCAGACTAGCGTTCAAAGGGTCTCAGGATCGGTGCCTTACCCCTTGCTGCGCTGGGGACCTGCCTTGGGCATGGGGCCAAAGGGTTGAGGGAAGAACCAGTGTTAGTTTCCTTATGCCCTGGGGGTGGGTAGGCTATCAAACAGGGCCCAGCCCGCACAGCAGCGTTACCACCCTTAACACCTGCTGCATCCATGGAAGCATCTGCCTCTGGCTCCAGCAGCCCTGCCCCGAGCCACGTCCGAACAGCTGCCGCCTCTCTGGAGCCAGCTCTGCACTTGGATTTGATTTGCCCCCCTCCTCCTTCCCCCAAAGGAAAAGCAACGTGGCAGGTCTGTGGCAGGTGCACTGAATATGCCTGTGCTCAGCCAGGCCCCTGTGGTGTGTGTTATTACACCAGGTTGTCAACTAAGCTCCCTCACAGCCCCATGGACACACCCTCTCCCTGCCCAGGTGTCTTCTGGCCCATTTCAAAGCCAACCGCAGCTGGCTGGGTGGAGAAATATGCCAGCTCGGCTGAGCACCACATCCCGGCTGGGCGGTAGATCCCGGCTGCTCCCCGAGATCCTTGGCACTGAATTCCCCACCCATCCGGCTGTGCTGTAGTTTTCCATCCTCTGGAGCCTTTTATCTTTCCGAGGGCCCGATAACTCCACTACTGCCCGAAGAATCAATGCCGGGCACTTGGAAGCCAAGAGCAGGACGGCAAAGTCCAGTGTCTGCTACACAGAAAGCTGTAGCGAGAGGCAAAGCACCGTGGGCTTGTAACCTTAAGAGACGGCCTGATCCGCTGGTGTCGAGCCAGCCACATAGACTCATAGACTTTAAGGTCAGAAGGGACCATTATGATCATCTAGTCTGACCCCCTGCACAGTGCAGGCCACAGAATCTCACCCACCCCTCCTAGAATAATCCGCTCACCTATATCTCAGATATTGAAGCCTTCAAATACTTTGAAGACCCCAAGATGCAGAGAATCCTCCAGCTGTGATCTATACCCCATGCTACAGAGGAAGGCGAAAAACCTCCAGGGCCTCTGCCAATCTACCCCGGAGGGAAATTCCTTCCCGACCCCAAATATGGCGATCGGCTAAACCCTGAGCATGTGGGCAAGACTCACCAGCCAGACACCCAGAAAGTTCTCTATAGTAACTCCTATCATCCCTCCATTGACCTATTTCCCACTGATAATGAATGGTCAATTAGTTACCAAGATCATGTTATCTCATCAAACCATCCCCTTCATAAACCCATCTAGTTTAATCTTGAAGCCAGATAGATCTTTTGCCCCCACTACTTCCCTTGGAAGGCCGTTCCAGAACCTCACTCCTCTAATGGTTAGAAACCTTCATCTAATCTCAAGTCTAAACTTCCTACTAGCCAGCTTATATCCATTTGTTCTTGTGTCCACATTGGTATTAAACTTAAATAATTCCTCTCCCTCCCTGGTATTTATCCCTCTAATATATTTAAAAAGTGCAATCGTCCCCCCTCAGCCTTCTTTTGGTGCTTCCTGCCCTGGCTGGCCCCCGAGGAAGGCTTTGCTGCACGTCACCCTCTGTGCATGCGGCGCGCTAGTCAGGAACAGCTGCAGTCAGCTGGCAAAGACCCCGAGCCAGGAGGGGGGGCCGTGCCGGGTGACAGGCCCTGCGTGTTCAGGTAGCTCCGAACCCTGCCAGGTGCCGGCGGAGCAGCCTATCTGCCTGTGCTAGGGACTCCTCTGGCTTTGCAGGCGGTTCCAGAGAGATTGCGGCTACGGAGCCAAAGAATGGTCTTGCCAGCTGCAGATGGAGTGCGCTTGCTGCAGCCGCCGATGGATTGTCTCCCCTAAAACTAACCCCCCGGCTCCTCCCCCAGATAAACATCCTTCCTGTGGGGGAGAAATAATCCCTGGAGGGACATGCTGCCTGGCCACTGGCCCTGCTGCTCCCCACCTGGGGTCTCCGCTTCCAGCCCCAGGTACCGCTTGGATGCCACCCCCATGCACAGAGACATGGCTGCCGGCCTTGGGTTCCACTCAGCTGCTGGCTCCACTACCAGACCCCGTATGCAGGGTCCCACCCAGCCAATGGGAGGGAGGGTGTTTGTGATGTGCCCCCATCAGGGCCATGGGAGAAGGGGGAATCCCCTCCTCTCAGGGGCCAGGATAAGTCCCCTCCCCCTCCGAGCCATGGAGCACAAGCAGCCGGCACTGCCCCTCTAACCATCAGAGGAGTTCAGTAATAGACCGAGCCGGGCCAGGCCCCGTTCCCTAGCCTGGCCCTTTGCTGGCAATACCAATACTTGGCCCTTCTCTAGTGCCGCCATTTAAAAGGCCTCCCTAAGCAAGCCTCCCAGTAGCCCGCAAGAGAGGGAGCGCCTTATCCCCATTTTACAGAAAGGGAAACCGAGACCACAGATAATTTAAGGAACATGGCCCCAGTCACCAAGCAGGCTGGCGTGGACCCGAGTTTCACTCACTCCTAAGCACGCAAGGAGCCAGTGGGACGTGTTAGTCTGCAAGGAGCTAGCGGGATGTGTTAGTCTGGCCTCCGACCGAGTGCAAAGCAGAGAAGTCACCCTGTGGTTTGGCCACTGGTGCGTCGGTCTTCCCTGAGCTCTGGCCATGCTGTCAGACTCATCCCCAGGCAGGGGAGATGCAGAGACGACAAGCAGCGACAGCTCATCCGGAGCCTTCCAGCGGGTTCCACAGGGAGGAGACCGAACGAGTCCATTCTTTAATCCCTCTCTCTCCGCAGCAGATATTGAATTTAGATTAGACTTAATCCTCAGCCAGCCAGTGCGCAGGACCCCGGAGCATGTGAAGCAGGCAGTCTGGGCCCAGCAGTAACACAGACTCAAAAAGGTTTCAGCCTGACCTTTACACATTGAACAGAGGCACGGAAAGATAAGCGCTTTTATCCACTTTGCGGCCGCTTGCACGTCCCCTGCCGTAGCCAGGAGGCACGGGAGACGATCCTGCTAGGGGTGATGTGCCTATCCCGGGCCCAGAACAGGTCCCTGAGGAACCACGATTTGTAACAGGAGAGAGACCTGCGAGCCAGCAGGCACTTTCAGATGGAAAAGAAGGTGGGAATTTCCCACAGGGAAAGGTGCTGAGCTATTGTGGCCCCTGACCTAGGCATGTGGCAGCGTCTCCGCCACTCGGTAGCTCTGTCAGGAGCAGTGGTCTTGCTAAGCGACGCGTTCAGCCAAGCGTTGTGGGTTCAGTGCAGGAATCATGGGGGGGGACGATCTCCGGCTGGGGCTAGGCAGGAGCCGAGACAAGATCCCTTCTGGCCTTCACATCGCTGCGACACAGGGGAAGGCAGGGACTAGCCACCGCCCCAGGTGTCAAGAGAGGGGTGCGGGGGGATGGCATTTCACATTCAAAACACTGGATCCCTGGAACCCCCTTCCGCCCCGTTCAGGCCAACTGGCTCCTGGTGGAAAGGCACGGAGGGTATTGTGGGTAATGACACTAATGAGTATGAATAAAGAATTCAATCCACCCCCTCATTTCCCCAGATCAGCTGAGGTTGGGAGGGCTGCAGTGGGGGCACCTCCAGAATGAGGTGGGGGGTCACAGAGGGAGATGGTTACAGGGCACCCCTGGGAGCAGCATGCACTGGGAGGAGGCTCACCCTGAGGCAGAAGGGAAAAGCCCCAGGGGTTTTGGGGACTCCTGCAGAGCAGGGCGGAGATGGGGGAAGGTGCCGCTGCTGGCACCAATGGGGGCCTCTGAGACATCTGGGTCACCCTCCCTGCGCAGACTCAAAAAGCAGGCAGACCACGAGAGCCCCCTGCTGAGGGGCCTGCTGTCGCTCTTCCCGGGCCCCTTCTGCGGGTTGGCCCCAGGCCAGCGGAGGATGGATGGTGTCTGGGTGGTAGGGGAGGGGCAAGGCTGATGCTGGGGGTCGGTGGGGGGAGAGACGCCCGTTCCTAGGGTCAGATTGCAAGAGGAAGCAGCCGTGGGCTGGGCCCGGAGATGGAACAGGCTGAGTTACCCCTGGAAACCAGAGCCCGAACTCCACCCACATCCTGGGCTCTGTTGCTGGCGTTGCTAAGCCAACCAGGCCGGGCTTGCCACCTGAGCCAGGTCTGGAGCAGCTGTGCTTTCTGCCGGTCCCCCTGCAGCCAGCGCCACTGTTACTGCTCTGGGGTAGACAGGCCGGCCCATTGCTGCAGCCATGAACACCATCCTTTCCAGGTAAGGCGGGCCCCGCTGCCTGGGGGGGTCTCCCCTCCGTTGGCCTCCCTCCCATGGAGCCTGCTGCAGGAGAAGCTTGCACTGAGCTCTGGGTAGCTCCCCTGAGATACCCTGGAGCTTGCCAGTCAGTGAGGACGGCTTGTCTGGACGGCCAGAGCAGCAGGCTGGGCCTGGAGAAATTTGGGTTCTTGCCCCCACCTGATGCAAGTCCCTTAACGGGGCCTCGGCTTTCCCCTCCCTAAGGTAGATGCAATGCCTTAGCATCACGGGGCAGACTCGCAGCTCGGTTCCTCCATGGTTCCGGAACGTATCCACGTCCCCCCGAAGGAAGGCAGATGCTCCAGGAGGGGCGGTAACAACAAGAGATGCTGCTTACGGGTGCCACAGAGCGGGTTGCTCCCCTCCAAGACTTTAGTGCGTGTCCCAGCAATGGGAAGGAGGAGCCGGACGGTTAAAAGCGGGAGGGGGGGCTCATTCGTTTAATGACAGCCGGCGGCTCTCACAGGGCACCCTGCATTCCAGGCCCGGGGTGGGGCCGTGCTCATGCAGACGGCCTACACACAAGCTAGCTGCAGTTTAGCAAGCTGGGCTCCCCGTGCAGCAGGCTGTTCAAGCCCACCTGGAACCAAGGGTAATGACTCGGGCAGCCTACACTGGCCCCAGCTTCACTGCTGTAGCCCCCAAGTAGCTAGGTGAATGCTAGCTCCGGCCCATCCACGCAGTCACCCCCACCCCTGACTGCAATGCAGACAGACCCCTAGGCCCAGAAGAGGGTGGAGGTTGCATGGTTAGCTTGGGACTGGGGAGATTTCTGTTAGCTCAGACTTCTGGGGAACCCTGGGAAAGAAACGTGAGCACTTTACAAGGCTGGAAGGTCACAGAGCAGCCTGTAGCCATGAAATAGTCCAGAGACCTGTTGCTGGGAATAGTGCTTGTGTTTGGGGGTGACTGAGCTGATCCGTGCGTCAAGGGCCTCAGCATGCCTCTGCCCCACTTTGCACACTCCCCACAGCCCATGTGTGATGGCGCGTTGGGGTTTTCCCGTCTCCTGCCCCCCCAGCCAGTAGAATAGAGGGAGTTTATTGCTTCTCCAGGATACAGCACAGCACAGATGTAATCTGGTTACAGGGCAGGCCTAGGATGCCTCAGTCCCCCTTTATATGGGGGAGCCTGGGCCCCTAAATCCCAGCCCATTGCCTAGGCTGCTTCCTCCATGATACCAGCCAGAAACCAAACTCACTCACTTCCAGCCCTGCCCCTAGCCAGGGCTCCACTCCCCTTCTTCCCATTGTTCCGCTCCCTGGGAGATAACTGGTCAGACAGGTTTGAAGCCCCCTTGCATAATGACTCATCCCCTGTCCTGCTGGGCCGTGCTGCAGCCAGCAGCCAGTGGAGGTCACTCACAACCCAAGCCTAGCAACCAGCAAGGTACCCCCCACTACGTCACACCATGATCTTCACTGTCACTCACACACACAAATGGTCAACGCGACATATGCTCCTTCAGTGAGCATCCTCTGGTTCTCCATGCGCAAGGGACTGCATGCTAACAAGGGAAGCCGGACCTTAAGCATTTGCATCAAGCTCCCACAGGGCACTGGAATTGCAGCTTTGGCCAAAGGCTTTTCCCAAAGGCTGCAGCTAGCAACTCTTTCAGCTGGTGTCATCTCCATGGCTCAAGAGAAATATCCTGGACATGCATCCCGTGTTTGAGAACCGTGCAAAGCAGCAGCAGCAACTTCTGGAAACTTTGCATCTGCTGGAGCTGTTGACTATGATAACAAATATACCCAGGACTGTATTGGAGCCAGATGTTTGACAGCAGAGCTAGAGCCAAGATCAGCCTGGATGCAGGGCCTCAAGCAAGAGAACAGAAAAACACGGAGTCCCTAGAGATTCCCAGGCGGCTGGAGGCAGGAGTCTGGCTGTAACTTACTTCCCCTTCAGCACTACCGCCAAGGTGAGAGGATCTGGGGACATGCCTCCTCCTCCCTTCTCCGCCATCCTGCCACCAGACCTGGCAGAGCTATGTGGCCCAGGGAAAGATCAGTCCAGGCTGCCTGATGCTCTTTCACCATGCTTCCAAAGCACACAGCTTTCAGAAGTAGTTTGGTGGAAGGCCAGACCCAGTTAGGGCTTCACGGTTAGCATCCAATTCCTTTTTCCTAGCAATCATGAATAAAGGAGCATGTTTCAAGCCTTGACTCCTGTCAGGTAGCAGCTCCCAGTCTAGCCACCAGTGCGTGGATAGCAACCCAAGTAGCCCTCAGCACAACTAAACACAAACGAATGCTCACGTGGTCACAACACGTTTTGGATGAGAAATGGAAGTGACGTTTTTCCACAGACTTTTCGTGTTGGTCAAAATAGTTCAGTTCTGGCTAAACACCAGAAATGGAAAACTTCTCAGGAACAATTTTCAGGTTTTGGTAAAAATGAAACATTTGACTAAACGCCATTAAAAAACCCCCAAACATTAACATTGGTTTGCAAAAGCTCAATAATTGTTGATTTTCAGTTTTATTGAAAAACCTGAATCTCTTTCATGGGAATCATGGAACACTAGAGCTGGAAGGGACCTCCTCACGGCAGGAGCAAGTACCATCCCTGACAGATGTCTGTCTGATCTGCTCTTAAATCAAACAAGCAAATGCTTCCAACGCTCCCACAAATTCACTGGCATTTTTAAACCTGCTCTAGCGGAGTAGATCGGACAGAGGCCTGACTCTTGCACCGTGGTTGGTGGAATGCAAACACTGGAGAACGTCTTGCGGCGTAGCCCACCTGTGACACATGGATGAGCAAGGGTTTACCGTGGAAGAAGAAGTTAGAAAGAGGAAGGCTAAGTCTCTCTTGCCAGTGCAGGGTGTTTTCCATAACACTTCGTCTCATATCCAATCCAGTCCTGTTTGAGCTTTACCACCATTCCTTGCTAGACCACTGCACCTTGCAAAAACATCTTGCTGCCAGGAAATATTTCCAGATAGTCAAACTACGTCTCCCCAACTGGATGCCATCATCTTTCGGTTTTTATAGGGACCCCCCCCCATCTCCTTGGGCTCTGAGAGCCTCCATGTATGCACATTAAATAATTCTGCTACTTTTGTAGGCAGTTACATCTCTCCTTCTCAGCCAGCCCATGCACCTTTGAACTCTTTCCATCTTTCCTGTTAACGCAGGCCCTCTACTAACCTCTGCTTATTTTACTGGGCTGTGCCTTTGAATTCCCTCCACTTTATCTCTCTGTTTCTGTAAGCGGAAACCAGAACTGAGACCAGTAAAATCATGCTGCAAACATGACTGGTGATGCCACACAGAAGAGACAGAAAGGCTGAGGCGCAGCAACGCAGTGGGCGATTTTGTTCACGGCAGCAAACCCGGAAGGGGTGGGCATAGTCCCGCATTGCCTAAAGCAGGAAACGCTCTAGCGAGCCGCAATGTTTGCAAATGATTTATTTTCAACATGAGGCGGGGGGGAGGGAGGCAGTTAACTACAGATCTGAGCCTTGAGAAATGTAAGGCCCCTTAGTCTTTTGTGGCAACGAGTCAAGCTTGCATGATGGAGACCAGCAGGCTTTATTAGGTGATGCACAGCTGCAAAACTCTTGGCAGAGCCGCCGGCAGAACGAGACGCATAGGCAGACTGCAGCTGTATCTTTCCATTAATACTGCTCTTAAAAGAATTCAGGAAGGTCTTACATTGAGCGCAGGGGGATTTGGGTTTCTGGATGGGATGAAGGGACGTGGATTTGAAGTTTATGAAAGGAGCATTCAATAATCGGCTTAAGCCCGCCAGTACCATACAGGGCAGTGCAGCCGGGAGATATGTCAGCAACGCCGGAGTTGTACTGAGCTGCGCGCAGCACCGCTCCCAATGGCTCCAGGGGAGACTTGTTTTCAGCTGGCCTGGAACAGTTGCTGTCGATTGACTGTAAGGGTCTAGGTTTGAGTCTCAACTGCAGATCACATCCATGCGGGATGAGTCCAGCCAATAGCCCAGCGAGGGCTCAGCTGCACCGAAGGGCAGTCACACAAAGGCAACATCAGAACCTAAGAGGTCAGGTTACACCAAATCTTCTGCCATCCAACTTCCCTTTCCTGGGTGCATTTCTGTATCTCAAATAAACGGTAGATGCAAATACCAGCAGACAAGCTACCTGCTAACAAGTCATCCCTGGGCTAATACATGCCCCCAGAATATATTTGCAGGTGCAAAAATCAGAAAAAAAACAGCACCCCCGAACTGTACCAGTAAACAGGAAGACCTGGGTAAAAGTGTATTCCCCCAGTAAGGAAAATGTGCCATAAAATCCCCCCCCACACACACACCCCCACACCTTGCAATTGTTGAGTCAGGGCTGGTTTTAAGGGCAGGCAAATGGGGTAGTTGCTTCTGATACCAATTTCCACAGGGGTCGCCGTGATGCTGTGCCGCTCAGACTTCTTTTCCTCCACGGATTAGCCACCAGAGAGGGCGGGTTGCTTGTCTGGGGCGTAGGTGGGTTTTTTTTCCCTTAGCCACTCACGGGGACACTGAAAACATTTCCCACCCCTGCCGGCAAAACCCCAAAATGGGCCCTGGGTTTAGTAGAGCCACCTTTCACTATGCTGATGGACAGGGGGCAGCTCTGTAATAATTTAGGACTCCTGTATATTTGTTTGACTGTGCTAAGGGAATGTTACCGAAGGAAAACCTGCAGTGCATTTAAGAAGTGG